CCTCCTGAGCCACTGGGATTATAGGTGTGCGCCACCACGCCTGGCCCTGAATAGACATTTCTCAGAAGAAAACTTGAATGGCCAACAGGTATGTGAAACAAAACAATGTTCGATGGCATTGATCATCAGGAAAACGCAAAAAACAAAAACAAAATGTCACCTCATATCCATTACAATGGCTGTTATTAAAAGGATAGAAAATTAAATGTTAGTGAGAACAGAGAAAAGAGAATCCTTGGATACATTTTTAGTGAAAATATCAATTAGTATAGCCATTATGGAAAAACTGTAGAGAGGTTTCTCACACACTTCAAAGTAGAACTACCATAACACCCAGCAATCCCAGTTCTGGGTATACATCCAACAGACATGAAATCAATGTGTCAAAGAGACATCTGTGCCCCCGTAGTTATTGCAGCCAACATACAGAATCAAACCCAGTGTCCACCAAGCTAAGGGAGGATAAAGAAAATGCGGTATATAACTACAGTGGAATACTATTTGGCCTTTAAAAAGAAGGAAATTCTGGTATTTGCAACAATATAAATGCACCTGGAAGACATTATTGCTAAGTGAAATAGGCTGGCCTCAGAATGACAAATGCCACGTGATCTCACTTCTAGGTGGAATCGGAAGCAGATGAACTCCATGAATCAGAGCACAATGCTGGACACCAGGGGCTGGGGCAGGGGTGGGGATATGCTGGTCAGAGGGTGCAAAGGTCCAGTGAAGTACAAGTTTTGGAGATCCACTGATACAGCAGGCACAGACTATATATAGACCACCGTTAATAACAACATGTTACAGAGCTCAGGACTGCTGAGAAATTTCCAAATGTTTACATCATACACAAAAAAAATCAGTATGTGAGGTAACGGAAGTGTTACCTGGATTTAACCATTACGCATCAGGTTCATACGTCAAAGCATCACATTGTACTTCATGAGTATGTGCAATCACAACTTGTCAATTTAAAAGAGAACTTAGAGGCTGAGAAAAGACAAATGAAACGATCTTTAAAGATTACTGATAAGCACAATAAAAGTTGTTAGTTTGAATTTTAAAAAAAGCAAATTGCTTTCTTTACTAGTTTGAGCTTTGCCCTGCCCAGTTGTAAAAATTCTCCCTTTTATGTATTGAATTTCCATAAATGCATATTTCTTTTTAGATATCCTATTCTCTTTGACTGGACTGTTTATATCTATACCAATACCACACGACATTAATTATCATAACATTAGCATGTTTTGATACCTGGTTTGGCTAGCCTTCATTTTTATACATTTTTTTTTGAGGGGGGAGTGTACCAGAGTCCTTTTTATTTTTTATCTTGAGACAGGGTCTTGATAAATTGCTGAGGCTGGCTTTTAACTTTTTATCTTCCTGCCTCAGCATCCCCCATAGCTGGGATTACGGGCATGCACCATAGTGCCCAGTTGTTTTTACACTTTTGAAAAATCGTATTGGCGCCTGGCACAGTGACACACACCTGTAATCCCATCAATGTGGGAGGCACAGGCAGGAAGATGGCAAGTCTGAGACCACCTTCAGCAATTTAGTGAAACCCTCTGGAACTTTGCAAGATGTTCTCTCAAAACAAAAAATAAAAATGGGGGCTGGGGATGTGGCTCAAGCGGCAGCGCGCTCGCCTGGCATGCGTGTGGCCCGGGTTCGATCTTCAGCACCACATACCAACAAAGATGTTGTGTCCGCCGAGAACTAAAAAAAAAAATATATATATATCTCTCTCTCTCTCTCTCTCTCTCTCTCTCTCTCTCTCTCTCTTTCTCTCTCTCTCCTCTCTCACTCTCTCTAAAAAAAATAAAATAAAAAATAAAAAATAAAAATGGATCGGGCTGTTGCTCAGTGGTACAGTGCCCCTGGGTTCAACCTCTAGTAACCCCACCCCCAGACTTCATTGGCTCCTCTCAAACTTTCATACTAGCACTTTGTAGGATCCCTTTGTCAAGTTCTTATCAAAAACCATACTGGGGTTTTCACTGCAATCACATTGAATTTGTAAGTGATTTTAAAAAGACTACCAACTTTGCCTTATAGCAGCACCTTCCCAAGCATAAAAGTTATTTTTCCATTTATTTAGTTCTTATTGTAGGCCTTTAATACATTTTTTTATCAATCCATGAAGGTCTGGCATAATTTTTAGATTGATTCCTAGTTTGTAGGACTTGTTTCTTTGATTGTTGATGACTTTTTCTATGATTTCTCACTGGTGATGTGTAAAAATGCTGTAAAATATTGTACAGAACTTATGCGTAACATCGTTGATGAATCTTACTTATCAAAATTATTGAGTGTTAAAAAAAAATACCATACAGAAACAACAAAGTCTGCAAATAACATCTGTTTTGCACCATCCTCCCCCACGCTATATACCTTCTTGCTTTGTCTTATTGCATAGTTTTCACTGTCTCAGACATCGCTGGGAGAGAATAGTGATCCTTACTGTTTCTGACCTCAATCACAATTCCTCTGAAAATTCAGCTCATTGTAGGTTTTGCTATAGAGTTTCATTGTGTATGTGTATTCATTTGTATTCTTAATTTTAGGAATTCACACTCACATTAAACTTTTTTTTAAATTTATTTATTTATTTAGAGAGAATTTTAAAATATTTATTGTATTTAGTTTTCGGCGGACAAAACATCTTTATTTGTATGTGGTGCTGAGGATGGAACCCGGGCCGCCCGCATGCCAGGCGAGCGCGCTGCCGCTTGAGCCACATCCCCAGCCCCTCACATTGAACTTTAAAACTCTGATGAATTCTAATTTTGAATATTTTATTGGGGATCATTGCTGTGTTCACAGAAGACATGGGTGCATAATTCTCTTTTTTCTCCGGCTGGATTTGGTCGTAGCATACAGTCTTTGGTGTACTGCTATTGCGGCATAACAAATTGCCCCAAAACTTAGCATCTTAAAACCCAACCCTACGTCACAGCTTGAGAGTCAGGACTCCAGGAGATGGAGTCTTCACTTGGTGGTCCTGGCTGAGGTCCAGTCCAGCTGTCCACTGGCCTGTGGTCATCTCAAACCTAGAATGGGTCTGAAGAATCTACTTCCAAGTTCAATCTCGTGTCTGCTGGTGGCCCTGGGCCGTCATAGGCTGTGGACCCAAACCGTCATTCCTCACCCTGTGGGCCACTCCCCAGATGGCCTGTCTTCATGACATGACAACTACAGTCCCCCAGAGCAAACGGTCAAGGAGAAAGAGCTGCTCCCCAAACGGAAGCTGCGGTTTTATCACCTCGTCTCATAAAGATGCTAACTGTCGTCTGTGCAATATTTCACCATAGAAAAATGTGGGTGGGACGACACGAGCGTGTGAAGTGTGAGGATCCCTCGGGCCCACGTGGAGGGTGGCTTCCTCACCCAGAGAACACGTAAAAGGGTTCTCTCTCTCTTTGCCTCTTCGCTGAGTCAGCCAGTTTAACACACCCAGTCGCTGCCCTGGGAGACCTGACTGAAAGCCGAACCGGCCCACTTTCTGCTTTGAGTATAAACCTTGCTGTTTGACCTCAGGTAGCTTTTTTTTTTTTTTAGGGCTTTTATTATGAAAAGCCTCCTTTTCCTGGTGCATTATAACTCTACTTACTAGTGGGATTCACTGTGCCATGTCCGTCCTTGCACAAAAGATTTGACCCATCTCACTCCCAGTGCCTTCCCCTTCCTCTCCCTCCCCGGAGCCTGAGCTGCTGGCTCCAGCTACCGGTCTCATCCTGCCTGACTCTGCCGTCTTCCTCACCCCATCCCCTCCCTCTAGGTGAATGGCATCACTTTTTTAAAAAATTAGTGCACTATAGTTGCACATAATATTGGTGTTCATTCTGATATGATCAAACAAGCATGGGATATAATCTGATCCACTTCAGAACCCAGTACTTCCCTTTCCCTCGCCTCCTCCCTCCCCCTGTTTTCTCCTCTGGGTCTTCCTTCTGTTTTTTATGTTTTTTTTTTTTTTTTTAGTCCTTTGTGGATATACATAAAGGTGAAATTCATTGCTATTTTAAATCAACATTTCCCCCCTATTTGCCTCACCCCCTTACCTAACAGTCTGGGAAACAAGACTAACATTTTTTTTTTTTCCAATCCCAGATTAAATTCTCATGTCCTTCACTGCCCACAAGAATTTTTAAAAATCCCCAACCTGGGAACTGGAGCACTGACTTGTCGAGGACACCAGCTGGCTTTGAGACCCAAGTCTACCACAGTCCAAAGAGCACAGAGAAACGTGCAGCACATCTCTGCCTGCTCCCTGGCTCTAGAAGCCTGGTCTGCTCATTCCCATTCCGATGGTACTGACCACCAGTCACTCATCAACATGATCACCATGGCAATATTCTTTTTTGGAGGTGGGAAGGAGTACCAGAAATGAAACTCAGGGGCACTCTGCCACTCAGCCACATCCCCAGCCCTATTTTGTGTTTTATTTAGAGACAGGGTCTCACTGAATTGCTTAACACCTCACTGTTGCTGAGGCTGGCTTTGGACTCGCGATCCTCCTGCCTCAGCCCCCCGAGCTGCTGGGATTACAGGTGTGCGCCACCTTGCCAGGCATCATGGCAGTATTTTTACGTGAACACAGAAGAAATGATGTCTTGGGAAAGAGAAGTGAGAGATTCAAACTCATTCCAGCAGGCAACGTGAGGCCATGAGGTGCAGAGGGTTCCCAGGATGTACCTTTCAATGCTCTCAACACTGATAAAGTGATTTTTTGTTGGCACTTTGTTTGAAAAAATGACATTTAGGAGCTAAAGTCATTTCTCCAGACACCACAGAGCCAGCGCCGGGAGATCCATGATAGAAACTCCCAGCCTCATGATAGGCTCCCGGAACCCCGAGCCTCCTCCGTCCTCTCCATATCTCCAGCAGGAAACCAGAAGGGTCCCTCACTCCCACCCAACCTCAGTGAATCACAGAAGCAAGTTGTACACAGAGAAATAAGTTCATTTACTTATTCATCATTAGCATATCTCCTGAAAGCCTCCTGGGTACCAAGTGCTTGCCAAAAGGTCTTCCTACGGGTGGAGGAGCCAAGTCCTCACCACAGAATCCCACCTGGCAGCAGAACGGGAGTTCCCACACCACACAGACTAGGAACCCAGAGGCACCTCCAACGGCAGGAATCAAGCTGTAAGAGAAAAGCAGATAAGACCTTCAGGGTAGGAACAAGACAAATCATTGCCACATCGTTTCCTGTACCGAGGCCCCTGAAATAAAAGAAAACAGCAAGGCAGTAGAGTTGAAAGAGTTTGGGTGTCAGGAGACTGAACTCAGGATTCATTTCACTGAAAAACTCAAACTCAGAGTTCGAACTAGATCATCCTCAAACCCCACGGATCCTTCGGGCCTGGAGCCTGGACACAGTGATGTAAACCACCTGAATAATGAATACTTAGTGCCGAGGGTGCTTTACCAAACACTGTCATCTCCATATGCTCACTTTTTCAAATAAGGAGACTGAAGCTCAGAAAGGGATTTGCCCAGAGCTCTCCCCCGAGGCTGGAATAGAATCAAATCCACAGGTGCTCCTTGGAAATCCTCGCCCCCGCCACCCAGGGAACAGTGCCCTTGAGGGATGAGGGAGTCCCACAGAGGCTGTGCTTGAGGTGCGGGACTCCCGGCACACAGGGCTGAACCCCCAGAGGGTGGAAGCTGGGAGGCTGCAGGGAGGGAGAGGACCAGCCCCAGCCCCCTCCTTACCTCTCACGGGGGAAACGCAGAGCTTCCCGCACATGCCGAGGCAGCACTTGAAGTCCCCGTCACACTGGCTGTCCGTCTCACAGTGGTTGGGGGGGTTAAGCATCATACACTGACCCTTGACCACTGGGCACTTCCCAGGCTTACTCTCCACTGGTGAGGGCAGAGCCACATGTCAGTCTGTACCTGGGACACCCTGTCCTTCTCGACCCAACGTCTGCTCCTCCCGAGCCCCATCGAGCCTCCTTCCCACTAAGGCATCCCCTGGAGTAGCAGCTGGCTCCCCTCCCATCCTGCCCCCCAGTTGGTGCAGGTGACCAGCTGTCCAGTGTTGAAGGGATGGGCTAACTTCCTGTGTGAGGCAGTGTGACTGACAAAGAAGGAGGCCTGGCAGGAACCCTTCCTCCAAGCTGGGCCCCTAGGCACTGGGTCTCCAAGCTCCCTCCTCTACCAGCTTACCTGATCTGGGGACGGCAACAGGATCTAAGCATTTGATGCCACAATAATCAGGGCAACATCTCTGCTTCCCCGGACACTGCCAGTCACTCCGGCACTGGGGCTCCTCATATCGGATGCACCGGACTTGTGGTCTAGCAGGGCAGGCTCCGGCTTTCAGAGATTCTAAAGAGAAAGTCAAAGGTCAGGAGAGGCTGGGTGCTCGCGTAGCCATCAAGAGTCTCCGGCAAAGCACCACTTCCCAGGAGGAGAGACACTCACCTCAGTGGCTGTCCACAAGTCCAAAGGGAAATGCCCTCCAGAAACAGCGACAGGTTTGAACAAATCAGGTTCACAAGCCCCGGAAGTCACGGACCCAAGATGAAGGCAAAGGATGATGGAGATCAAGAGATAGAGACAAAGCTGGATGGAAGCAGCAGGAGAGATGATGAGAATGAAAGAGACAGAAACACGGAGACTGAAGACCAGGAGCAGAGAGAGTCAGGAGACCAGGGAGTTGGGTTCTTGGGACTGGATGGCCATGGTGTTAGAGCGTAGGAGAAGGTGGTGGAGAGCAGGGAGAGAGAGAAACAGAGGAGGAAGACCTGGGTGACGGACGGCTGGGTGCACAGAGCATTTCCACACGCTGGGGGTCACACGAGACCTTGGAGCCCAGACAGATGTGTGACCGACCCTCAGCGAGGTCTTCAGAAACGAAGTTGAGAGATCAGAGGCTAGAGAGGGGGACATTCCCACGCCATCAGGAGCCCCCACCTCTGAGGCTTCAGGCAAGATGGGGCCAGAGTAACTCCAACTCACCATTTCCAGAACCTTCCACAGCCAAAGGAGCCAGAGTTCCCAGGGCAAGAAGTACCACGAGTGGCAAGAGGCTGCTCGACTTCATGGTGCAGGCAGGTGGCTCTGAGAGCCAGCGCCAAAGCTCACTGTTTATACCTTTGCCAGTGGGTGTGGCCCCCAACAGAAGGTTTTGGCTCCTCCCAGCTGCTGCTGCTCCCGGCAGGAAGCTCAGCCAGAGACCAAAAATCATGAGACCAGGGAGATGGCAGCCCTTTCCTGTTTCAGATGGAACTCTGAGACCAAGAGAGTAACCATCAGAGAAGAGGTTGTCACCAGACTGATAAGGAGGCGGTTGGGGATGTCTGTCTGAGCCTGAGCGTTGTGAGGAAGCAGCCCATTAATTAGTCTTGCACATGGAAGAGGGGGGAGAGGTCGGCTGTGCTCCCTGGACCTGGAGCTGAAACAGGAGACGTGGACGCTCAGCTGAGGTTTGTGCAATACACCCCTAGTTCTGACATTTCTGGACTCTCTCAGATTGTGAAAGCACCCTACTGATTGCTTAATGAGATTTCTTTCTCAAAAAATGCAGATGACGCATCACCCAACCAACAGATATTTCTTTCCCAAATTATCTGTACCGTTACATCCGCAGAGTCTGTTCCATGACCGAAACGTGGAAGCCACTCGCTAAATACGTGAAACAAGCACTGAGAAATCCCTGCTCCCAGCAAATTTCTTTGGAGTTCAGTTTTCCCACCTGTTGAGATGCAATGATTCTAACAAATGGTCCTCTTCAGAGACAAAAAGATGAAAACTGTGGAAGAACTCTGAAAAGAATAAATTAGTCGTGTCCTTCATCACTGAAAATAGTCAAAATGAATCTAAGGTAACAGGACAAAGCAGTGTGCCAGTCTCTGTAATCAACATTTAGCTGGGGTTAATTTGAGATGATAGAGGGATGCTTCTTGCCCCAAAGTCCTACAGATCTCAGGTGACAACAAAAATAAATAAATAAAAAGCTGCCATATACCTAACCCATTCTGTGCTACCCTGTCGGCATAGACTTCCTCTAATTATCAGGACGGTGATTGCTTTCTGTAGAATCCAACCCCAATGGCTCTGACTAAAGTCCACTCACTTCCACCACCCAGGGGACAGTTCAAGTCCTCTCACTCAACTCCCCTACTTCCATTCTGTCTCTCCTATTTTCCTCAGTGCTCAGAGAGTGTCTGGGTTTTCATATTTTTTTTTTGCTGGGGGGATGGGGGGCAGTTACCAGAAATTGAATTTAAGGGCCCTCAACCACTGAGCCACACTCCCAGCCCTATTTTATATTTTATTTAGAGACAGGGTCTCATTGAGTTGCTTAGCAGCTTGCTTTTGCTGAGGATGGCTTTGAACTCGTGATTTGAACTCGTGATCCCCCTGTCTCAGCCTCCCGAGCCACTGGGATTACAGGCATATGCCACCATGTCTAGAAAAATAGTTGTCTCTACAAGAGAGAAAAAGGAAATTTCAAAATTAAAGGTATATATATATATATGAGAGAGAGAGAGAGAGAGAGATTGAGAGGAGAGAACACGATAACTAGAGTTTTCTATCTGCAATTGGTGGATGGATAAAAACCAACTCTTTCTCATCAAAGAGCCCTGTGATCAATTAGCAATGCCTTCCATGAGGATAACCAAGCCTGACATTTCTGTTATTGGCTCAACTGGCCATAATCTTCAAATTATAGAATATTGAGATCCTTCATAGGTTATCTAGAGCAAGGAGCAGCAAATTACAGTTTCTGAACCAAATCCAGTGGGTTTCCTGTTTTGTTTTGTTTTTAATATTTTTTCATCGTCAATGGACTTTTATTTTATATGTGGTGCTGAGAATTGAACCCAGGGCCTCACACATGCTAGGCAAGCGCTCTATCACTGAGCCCCAGCCCCAGCCTGGGCTTCCTGTTTTTCCTAAATATTTTATTGGAACATAGCCACATGTCCATTAATTTATGAAATATCCATAGCTATTTTCCCACTACAATGGCAGACTTGAAATCTTTGCAACAGAGACCTAAAATATTTACTCATAGCCTAAAATATTTGATGTCTAGTCCTTTACAGAAATTTTTTCCTGTGAATCCCCAGCTTGCAGTCAAAGGGACAGAATCCCTCAGGAAAAGGTACAAGCCCAAAGTTGCATCATGAGTTAATTTCACAACACAAAACTGAGCTTTTCTAAAATAGGTGACTCAGGTGCTAGTCCTCAAAGCCTGTTTGGTGGTGGACACTCCCCCTCCTAACAGCCTCTTAAGCTGAGATTGATTCACTGCATCTACAGGACACACTCTCGATGGCCTTCAACTAAACCCTATGAACTCATTCATCCCACAGAAATCATTTAACAATTTACAACGTGCCTGGTACTGTACCAGGCCCTGCAGCTACAGCAAATAACACACAAAGTCAACACCACACGGCTGCTAAAACCCTGAACCTCAAAGTCAGGCTCACCTGAGTCGAAGGAAAATCACTGGACCTCTCTGAGGTTCGGTTACCCCACTGCAAAGTGGGAGTGTCGCTTCTTCTTTGTCTGAAGGCACCATGTCTGGGCCTGTCGGTGCAGTAGACATGGCTTTATCACAGTCAGGTTCCTGTACACACAAGAGACATGGGGCGCTGTCAGGCTCTAACCACGCTTTGTCCTTGGCTCTGGTCCCAACTTGAGCTGTCCCATTAAAAGCTTGACAAAATCTGACTCCATTCCTACCCTGGTTCTGCTTTTTTGGAGAATCCTGACTACTATGGCCTCCTGGCCCCCACAGTGCCCACCACCATTTATTTCAGGCCAGTCACTCATTACTTGGGAGGATGCACTGTCCTTCAGCTTTTGAGTCCTGGCTGCCAGTTAGTCTCTCAGGTCTGCTAGCGTGTCACCCATGTGAGGGCGGGGAGAGGAGCCCTGCAACAGGTGTCTCCTCGTGCACATCAAGTGGCAGCGGAGACCCCGGGCACCTCGGAGGGTCTGCACTCTCCCCATGAGTGTCCACGTGCCGCTGGGGGAGCAACATTGCACAGAATTTTTTTAATTTTACTTATTTATTTATTTATTTAAATTAGGTATATATGACAGCAGAATGCATTTTGGTTCATTGTACACAACTGCAGCACAACTTTACATTCCTCTGGTTGTACATGAGGTAGGGTCGCACCATATGTGCAGTCATACGTGGACCCAGGATAATGATGTCCATCTCATTCCACTGTCTTTTAAACAGGATTGTTAAACACCATAATAAGTCCAAAGAGACTGCAGTAGAAGGGGAACATTTTTTTAAAAAAATTTAATACCTCTAACAACACCTCTGTTGTTGTTGCTGCTGCTTTTTGATTTGAGCAAGGGGCCCCACGTGCTCTCTCTGCCCTGAGCCCTGCAAATCCTAGGTAGCAAGCACTGGAAGTGGGTGGGCGGGGCAGGGGGGCTCAAGGGTGAAGTGAGAGGAGCGTCACATTTGCATAAGAAAAGTCCTTCTCTCATCCACCCACAGTTCAATCAGAAGGTGAAGAATTAAAAAGAAAAAAAGATTTCAATTGTGAAGACCTACTGGTTGAGAGCCACTGGCTAGGAAGCCTTGGGGAGGAGACAGGAGCAGCTGCACACCCCCCAGGAGCCTGCAGAAGGGGTGACTACAGGGATGTCAGCAACGGGTGGAGGGGTGGGGGGAAAACCCCACAATGGGGGGGAAAGAGGACAGGCCTCAGCCCAGCTTGGAGGGACCCTGCCCTAATGGCCCTGGTGGTCCTGGCTGGCCTTAGGCACTGGGGGAAACCATTTTGAGGGTGATATTCCAAAGCACAAGAGCCCCAGAGTGTGGGGTCCAGGACAGAAGTCCAAATTGCTCAGGGAGATGTGTTTCAAATCTCCATCCTGACAGCAGATGCTCTCTTTCCCCTAACATTCACCATCTCTCAGTCTAAAAGAACAAAACAAAACAAAAACAAAACAATACTTCTCTCAGAATCTGTCAGGAGAGGGGGTTCTTGTGGCTCTTCCCTGTGTGAGTGACGTGAGTCACGCAGCCCCTGCCTTTCTGCGGGCCTCAGTGCCTCCATCTGTCCCAAGAAGGTAACTGTGACTCTAAGAAAGAATTTTTCCCTTCATCTTCCCAGGTCACGGACCCCATCCCCAGAGACGCCGCCAATTTTCTGAATTTTACAGTTGCCTTTATAACTTAGCTCCAACAATCCCCTTGAGCGAAACACACAAAACATTCAGTCATGGCCCAAGGAGAGAATAGAGAAGCAGGAGTGGTGGGGCGGTGCTGGGGACACTGCTGAGCTAGACAGAGAGAGATGACAAGGACAGCTCAGAACATTTGGGTCACTGGAGACTTGTGGGTGGCAGACGTGTCACCAGATACCGCCACCTCTTAGAAGCCTGATGACTTCCTTCTTAGGGTTCCCACACTCAAGAAGTTTGACTTTTACAAGATTTGACCTTTCTCCCCAGCCACTCATGATATTCCCAATAAAACTGGGAAAGGCAAACCGTTCTTAGAGACTCAAATACGAACGGGGGTGGGAGGGGGCATGATTCCAGTGAAGCAGAATAGGGACGAGGCTGGAATATCCATCCAGCCAAGAAACAGCAGGAGGAAGTAAGCAACAAGGGCAGATCTCAGGTGCCTTCCTGCTGATACACCCACCCAAGAGGGGGCAGGTTCTTCAAAAATTTCTTCAAAAAATGAGAGTCTATCTCCAGAGGGGAAGGCATCTACCACCCAAGGTTAATGAAACAGAGGTTTTGGTATGCCTCAGGGAAGTTGGGGGATCTGGTAAGACAAATTAAGAGTGAGGGTTGGACATTAAGCAACTGCTGGCGTGCCTACCAGTGGAAGAAAAGAGAAAAGAAAAATTGAATGATTAAACTCTGGAACAGGGGCTGGGGATGTGGCTCAAGCGGTAGCGTGCTCGCCTGGCATGCGTGCGGCCCGGGTTCGATCCTCAGCACCACATACAAACAAAGATGTTGTGTCCGCCAAGAACTAAAAATAAAAAATAAATATTAAAAAAATAAAAATAAACTCTGGAACAGAGCCAGAAGCAGCCTGGGAAAGC